AAGGATTTCAGCGGGGGCAGATGCCTCACTGGTGTATATAGGTCCGCCTATGATGATGGTGGAGTAAGGGCTTTTTTTTGTGCCCGTATAATTGTACTTTTATAGCGTGAATTTTGGTGCTAGACGAAATGGAAGTTCTTCCTTGCACATAATTCGAATAATATGAAGATCCATCAGATGTCATGATCATTTTGAGCTTCTTTTTTCATTTTCTTGCTTTAAAGCGATGTTACTATTGATATCCTATATTTTTGTTTCTTGTTGCTTTGGTTTCACAACAGTGGTAAAAACTTGTTTGAAATCTTATCTTAGAGGTCCCCCCTTGCCTCACATCCACTTTCCATGTGTGGTGATGCTTTATTAATTGGTTGACAAGATTAGACTCGGTCACTTACTCCTATCATTTTTTTTACCTTTCATATTCATGTTGTTTATGTTGGTATCTATTTGTTAATGTGTGTTGTTTAGTGCAGGTTGTCTTAAGTTGGTAACTGGAATATAATGTCTGAGGATGCTAGCCCAATGTTGGTAGTTTATGATGATCCCTCAGACCAACGATCTCTGTCTTTGGATGATGCAAGCAGCACGGAGGAATCACCAGATGAAACCAGGCTCTCTTTGGAGACTGCTAACGATTCAATTCCATATATTGGGCAAAGATTTAGCACTCATGATGCTGCATATGAATTTTATAGTGAATTTGCCAAGCGGTGTGGGTTCTCAATTCGACGACACCGTACAGAGGGAAAAGATGGTGTTGGAAAAGGACTGACTAGACGCTATTTTGTTTGCCATCGTGCTGGTAACACTCCTGTCAAAACATCAACTGAAAGTAAACCCCAAAGAAATCGAAAATCTTCCCGATGTGGATGCCAGGCTTACATGCGTATAAGCAAGACAACAGAATTAGGTACTCCAGAATGGCGTGTTACTGGTTTTGCCAACCACCATAATCATGAACTTTTAGAACCGAATCAAGTTCGATTTCTTCCTGCGTACAGAACTATTTCAGATTCTGACAAAAGTCGAATCCTTATGTATGCAAAAACTGGGATTTCTGTCCACCAAATGATGCGACTGATGGAGCTCGAGAAGTGTGTGGAACCTGGATATCTGCCTTTTACTGAAAAGGATGTGAGGAATTTACTTCAATCATTTAGGAAATTAGAACCAGAAGAGGAAAGCATAGATTTACTAAGAATGTGCAGAAATATTAAGGAGAAAGACCCTAATTTCAAATTTGAGTTCACACTTGATTCAAACAGCTGTTTGGAGAATGTAGCCTGGTCATATGCCTCCTCAATACAGTCATATGATATGTTTGGTGATGCAGTGGTATTTGACACAACACATCGCCTGACTGCATTCGACATGCCGTTGGGTATATGGGTTGGAATGAATAATTATGGAATGCCTTGCTTTTTTGGTTGTGTGCTTCTGCGAGAAGAAAACTTAAGGTCATATTCTTGGGCATTGAAGGTAGTGTTAAGAGTTTTTTCCCCCATCTATATGATTTCACCTTTGTTTCTGTATTTGTTTGTCTCAGCTTCTGTTTCCTTCGTGATCTCTTGTATGTTTTTGTTGATTGACTTTTGTGGCTTGGCAATAATAAAGGAACGAAAGGAGAGAAAACTTTTAACTGGTCTAGTGTAGCCAACACATCAATAGAGTGGTCTCCAGGATTTACTTGATTGCCAGATGGTCATAATGTTGGCCAATTACATTAAAATTGATTTTGTTGCATGATGCTTCTTTATAACCAATTTTCCCCAGTAAATTTAAGTATTCCCTCCGTTGCTTATCATAAGTCAAATATAACTGCCTCACATGCACCAAGATAATCATTAAAAATTAGTTGGTGTGTGAAAAACCTTACAGGTTTTCCAAATTTTCACTCAATACACTTAGTCCTCTCACGCCTCATTAGTTGGTATATTGCAAAGTTCAACCAAAAGCAACTTCCCATGCATTGGGAATGAAACATATTAATGGATCAGCAAACCATGAGTTTAGTAATTTTTAAATCTTACAAGGCCATTTCTGTTTTTTTTTAATAAAAAAACGTATTAATTACTCTTGAAAATTAAAATTAGCAAAATGACAAATTTTGAAACAGAAACCCCTTATAGCATGTGACTTGTGATAGGGAATGGAGGTTGTATCCTATAGTCTTGTGGTACCACTCATCAAAAATGGGCAAGGCTTTTTCATTATTGATGAGAAATTCTTTAATTTGATTTTCTTTCTTTCATCCCTTATTCGTGGAATTCATATGTCGTGGATGCGTTTAAGTTTTGAAAAGTTCAATGGCTCTACAATTGACTTAGGTGGTTTTCTTTTGCTTTCCTTGTTTCATCGTCTTCTGGGAAGGCTTTCTTAGGGTTTATGAATGGGAAGGCTCCGCAGACAATATTAACAGACCAAAATATGTGTCTCAAAGAAGCATTAGCCATTGAAATGCCAGCAACTAAACATGCCCTCTGCATATGGATGATTGTAGCAAAATTTCCCTCTTGGTTTAGTGCTGTTCTAGGAGAACGTTACAATGAATGGAAGGCTGAATTTTATAGACTTTACAATCTTGAGTCAGTTGAGGACTTTGAACTAGGTTGGAGGGATATGGTCAGTTCTTTTGGGCTGCATGCCAGCAGGCACATTGCTAATTTATATACTTTACGTTCACTTTGGGCGTTGCCATTTCTGAGAAGCCATTTTTTAGCGGGAATGACTACAACTGGTCAGTCAAAATCAATTAATGCTTTCATTCAGCGATTTCTGAGTGCACAGACCCGGCTTGCACACTTTGTAGAGCAGGTACTCTCTATTTGAAAATTGTTAAATTGTTTTCACTGTGTGATAGTTCTTTTTTGGAAGTAAATTTGGATGTTCATTATGCTCAATAATATGTTCCATCCTATATTTTGGAAGACGTAAAACATTATCTTATTGTTCACTTGGGCTTGCACAATTAGGTAGCTGTTGCTGTGGATTTCAAAGATCAAACTGGTGAACAACAAACTATGCAACAGAATCTTCAAAATATTTGCCTCAAAACTGGAGCCCCTATGGAGTCACATGCTGCCACAATTCTCACTCCTTTTGCCTTTTCAAAGCTTCAGGAGCAACTTGTGTTGGCGGCTCATTATGCATCTTTTCCATTGGAAGATGGTTTCCTTGTGAGGCACCATACAAAAGCTGAGGGAGGTCGGAGAGTATATTGGGCTCCTCGGGAAGGAATTATAAGTTGCAGCTGCCACCAGTTTGAGTTCTCTGGAATTCTTTGCCGGCATGCTCTTAGAGTTCTTTCAACAGGAAATTGCTTTCAGATCCCTGATAGATATCTTCCCTCACGGTGGCGCCGAATCAGCATGACTTCTGCCAAGTCTTATCACAGTGCACCTAAGGATCACGCTGAAAGAGTACAGTTATTACAAAACATGGTTTCTGCTCTTATTACAGAATCTGCCAAGTCAAAGGAAAGACTGGATATTGCAACAGAGCAAGTTTCCCTCCTTCTATCTAGAATAAGGGAGCAACCAGTTTCATTACAAAGTGTTAGAGATATTTCTGGCATTGGTAGGAATGTTTGACAATTGGTTGTGGTGTATGGTGGGATTGGCGGTGTGTGGTTTAGTGATAGGAAGGAAAAGCAAATATTTGGATGAGAAAGCAAATTGATAGTCCTCGAACTTGGTAGTTGGTAGTGCTTGGTTGGAGCTTTAAAATGACCCCCTCTGTTTTTTTGTGTGAAGGGGAAAGAAGCTATTTGTGGGTGGAAGTTATTCCGGCGTGATAATTTGGAGATTATTAAAAATGCGAAGCTGCTTTTGATTGGGCTTGCAAGGTACCATCCTTCCTGCTTTTCCGATGCATTGTTTTAAAGGACATGTACAAATGTATAGAAACTTGTTCATTCATATCCTCGTCTTGTTTTTGGTCCCAAAAAAAAGAGAAAATATCTTCATCTTCTGACTTATTGTAATTTATCTCATTTTTTTAGTTTTGGATAAAGTAGAAATTTAGATAGGATTCATTGCCCTGAAGCATCTCTTCATTCAGATATTGGTATTATGCGTTAGGAAAGTTCAAAGGTTTCTGCTCGCCTTTTTTGGAATTGCGGAGTTTTTGGTTGTTTGTTTGTTTTCTTTTTCGTCTTTTGATTAAATTTTTTGGAGTTTTTAAGGAACACTTGATGTGTACTCGAACCGTCGAGGCCTTCCTTTTGACAAAGTTCCAACACCCCCCCCCCCCCCCCCCCCGCGGGGGGGTGTTGGTTGGAGCCTTGGAAGGGGGGAAGGGGGAAAGGGGAGATTTTAATGTGTTTGATTTTGGGGAAAAAAATTGGACAAGCAAGGTTAAAAGTTTTCAAGAGAGGAGCTGTAAAAGGTAATAAAAATTAATTAAAAATATTCAGCTCCAGGTTTTTTTTTTCAAATCAAATTCGTTAAATTTTTTCCTCCCCCCCCAATAAAAAAAAATTCCTGGTGCATCGAATATTTCTTCTTCTTCTTTTTTTGGCCCGAATATTTCTTTTTTCTTTAAACAATAGAATATCAAAATGACCCACACACAGACACGTGTGCCCACAAACATGAGTATAAAGAGAATTCGAAGGGATTTGATGCAACAATAAAACAATACGTTCATAATAGTATGGTTGCATTGTAGTGTGTTTTCTTTGCGAGAAACAGGTTTTCTGGAAGGAAATACCACCTTGCACATAATTCTCCAATGTTGACTTGGTTTTGAAGCTCTAAAAATTGCAAATTACAATAACCCCATCTGGAAGTCAGAACCGAGGGTCATTGGCTGCATGCTGCCATGGGTTTTACAGAATGTGGAAGGTAAGCCACAAGAATTTGCCCGAGAGAAATTAAAGTACTACATGTTGAGGGCTAGGATTAAAAAATATTTTATATAATATAATTAAAATGACAATATATTTACTGCATTTCTTTCGCTTGACTGAATTTTTAATTCTTGAAGTGAGAAAATGAGAATAGATATAAATTGGCCATGATGTTTAAACTGAAGTAGGAAAAATAGAACATCAACAAGCTGTTTATCATCAACATCTGAAACAGTAATGTAACAGCACAAATTACAAGAGTACGGTAAAATAATATAACACCAATTACAACAGCGATGTACTAGTAATTATCACAGTTTACACTTTACAGCAGTACTTTGCCACACTAGGAATACAAGAGTCCAGAAGAAAGGCACAGCTAGTCTTTCAATTCATACATCAACAAGTACGGCAAAGAATAACGACTAACACCCACTTGAGGCCGTAAATATATGTTGAAAATGCTCCTTGTCTGCCCACTGCAGTTCATCCCACCATTCTTGTTCACCTTTGATGGATCTGAGGTTGGTTGCCCTCTCCTTGCTTAAAGGCAATGATTTCAATCTTGAGCATTGATATATTTTGAGAACCTCAAGTGAAGACCATGGCAAGGTCTGATCTATGTACACAGATTTGAGTCTTGGCAAATTAGCCAGCACTAACACCTCTAATTTGGGAAGCACGGCACTGCCATAATCAACCGCTGCAATAAGTTCTTCAAAATCTGAACAGTTTTGAACTTCCAGAAAATGAAGCTGTGAAAAATGTTGAATAGCTCCATCACCAAAAATGTATTTCAAAGACGAGCAATCTTTCAATGTCAAAGCCCTTAGTTTGGAAAGGGATTCCTGATGAAAGGGACCTCTGAAGACACAATTCAACTTGCGCAAGTTTATCAGGTGCAGTTGCTCAAGATTTGGCAGGATGCTTACCTCTCTTGTGCCATTCACAGTTCCTGGTAAAAGGGTATGAATTTCATTGCATTTCTCAATCAGAATACCACGGATACGCTCCAAGCTTTCTGTCCCAAGGTTTGACAGATCTCTGACATGGTTACAGTTGATCAATTCTAATGCATCAGTTTGAGGAAGTATAGCACTAATTGCTGGAGTATCCTCGCATCCGCCATTGTTATATCTCAAATATCTAGAAATTCTGTACTCAAAAGATTCAAGAATTGAAGGACGCTTAGAGTTTTGACATCCAACGAAGAATTGGAATGAACTGAATTGTTTACCAGCTCTCCTTGTCAGAAGATTTTGAAGAGTTGTTGAAGTGGGAAAACTGAACCTGAGGTTGGTTAGATTTTCCAGATAGGCCAACTGCTGCATCACATTTGCAGCATCATTACACCATTCCTGATAGGAAACCACTTCAATTATCAATTCTTCCAATTTTTGAAGCCTTGAAAGCGCACTGTAATTAGCATTGACAGCTGGATCTTCACTTTGATCTGCAATTTTAATGTATGGGATTCGCAAGCACCTCAAATTGGTCAAGTACCCAATATCAGATGATAAGAAGGGCACTTTGGTTCCTCGAATGTCAAGAAATTCAAGCCGTTCAAGTGATCTTAATCCACAATTCAACATGGTTAGACGCTCACAATCATTGAGATACAGTCCCCTAAGACCAGTCAGCTTCGATACAGATGATGGCAGACTTTTAATTCCAGTACCATACATATCTAACACCACCAGGTTTCTCATATGCTTCTTGAAAAATGTTCCAGGAATTTTAGATAACTCTGGATTCTTCTGCAACAATAATGTCTCAAGCATACTACAATCCTGGTCTATTGGTAAAGTCTGCAAATTGCTGTTAATCAAAGATACCCACCTCGCATTCTGCCAAGATTTTGATGTTTCAGGTTCCCCAAGTTCCTCTCCAGTCTGGACGTAAGAGCTATACTGAGGATATTTAGAAGATATATATGAAGCAAGTTGTTTCATACAATCATTCATGCTGACATATATCATCTGTTTTCCTTTCTCTAGTAATGAGACATTTGTGAGGTCCTCTAGTATTGCATAACCACGATCACGTGCATTTTGATACTTTCTTGTCCCATTGATATCACCAAGGAAATTCTGAGCTGCCAAGCACTCCACCAAATAATCACTGTAAACCTTGCTGTCAGCAGGGTACGATGAAGCATACAGAAAGCATTTCTGTTTCTTTTCATCTTTCAAGTCGTCATAGCAGAATGTCAAGAATGAGTACAACTCGTTCACGCCTTCATTTTCATAATCTGGCCATCGTTCTTCCAGATCCTCCAGTCCTGCCCTCCAGCTTGGAGCACTCCCTTTCAATTTGAAAGATCGCGCTATCTTATGTATTAGCAGTGGAAGACCAGAGCACTTGTCACATACACGTTGAGCAATCTCTGGAATGTCTGGCCGATCAATTTTAGGACCAACAGTATCTCGAAACATCTTCCACGCCTCATCACGAGATAATTGCTCAACCTTGATCAACCTGTCTGCATCATTCAAGGTACAAACCTGTTTATGTTGAGCGGTCACCACAACCTTGCTGTAATTGTCATTATTTGGAATTCCCAGCTGACTCAAATCAATAGAGTCCACCACTCCATCCAAAATCAACAAGTACCTCTTATTCTTCAGCTCTTTGTGTATTTTTCTGGCAATATCTTCAGTGTCATTGATCCCTTTGGCATCGACCTTCAATCGCCTTGCAATTTTTTGTTGGAGATGAATCTCATCATCCGGGACCCCCACAAAAATGACAATATCAAACAACTTGTCAGCCTCTTCATGGTTGTTCAAATTCTGCATTATTGCTGTTTTCCCAACCCCTTTCAGTCCATGAACTCCAATGGCTTTTATTTTACTATTTTTGACCAATTCCAAAACTTTTTCCAGTGCACCTTGTAGGGTAGGATAACCTGCAATACGAGGAGCATTTAACACTTTTAAGACACGCTCTGGAGGTTTGTCAACTTGAAAAACCATATAACTTTTCTGTTCAACTAGTTCCTTAATTGCTTTAAGCTTTTCTTCCACCTCTGAAGACAGACTTGGTCGTTGCAAAAATCCGTATGAAGCTTGCTTTGCTGCTTCATATCTACTCACCAAATCATTCACTTCTTCATCAACCTCTGATGCCTTAGTGATCCATAAGCTGTAAGAACTTGTGGTTTCTTTCTCTCTACATCTTTGAACTTCCCTCTCCAGGTCCTTTCTCAAGGCATGTAGCAACAGCCTTCGTTGCTGTAAGTCCTCATATTTGTCTTCCAAATCAGTAGTGAAAGCTCGAAGCTTGTCTTTGAATGTATCTCCTGAAACCTCCAATGCAACCTGCGTGACCAGCTCACCTCCCATCTCTCCGAGAGCAGAGACTGTGTTTCTGATCCCATTCATGGCCAAACCTCAAATTCCTGGAATGATTAAATATTCAACTGAAGATGTTAAGGAAGATATATGCGCGGTATAGAATTCCATACACGATCAAAACATGTTGTATGTTCATTTAACTATGATGTGTTTGTACACGCTTGTGCATGCATCTCAGCCGCAAATACACATGTACAGTGTGATACGATACTGGGCACCTACTTTTAAATTTCTATAGCCTTTTCTCTTGCAAAAAAATTAATCAATCTACGAGTTTCATAAATACTATCAACGAATATTTTAAGGAATCCATTCAATAAAACAGACATGTCGGGGTTATAAGGAAATGAATCATGTTGGGATTTGCAAGACAGGGAAACGAATTACAATTTGAATGCAAATATTCTTGTGATTATATTTCCAGCAGGAGGAGAACAAGATTCTGAGCTGTTAGTCTTAGAAGAAATGAATCTCATAGTTAAATTTCAAGTGGAAAAATAGAAGAGGGCCAACAAAGAAAATCCGGTGAATGTTTTAATTAAAACCTTATAAGGAAAAGAACGAGTAAAGAGTAAATTGTACCTGGCTTGGACCAGAGATGAAAAGACGAAAGCCAGCTGTTTGAGATGGAAGGAGTGCTTTCTGGGTGATCGCAGTCCACAAGCTCGAGTAGATCAGGAAAAGGAACAAGCATCAATTTTGCGTCAACGCCCAAAAAAAGGAAGTCAGCCTAACAACGAAACGGTGCCCCATCACGGAAGGGAACATGCAACGAAAACACCAATCGTTTACGCGTAGGTATGGACTTTAGGGCCATTAAGCATCAGCCCTTTTGGAAATAATTAATTACAATGACATCTCTCTGGCAGTGGATTACTCAATCTATTCCTATTTATAAGCTTCAAATGATTTAAAGAGGGGTAGTCCATTTTATAAGTTCTAATTTGAGTTTATTCTAATATTTAATGCGTTTTTTTTAATTTTATCTTTAATTATTTAGTCTCTTTTATCATACTCTGTTATTACATTACACTATATAGTCCTTTTTATTTTTTTATTTATTATAAAGAAATATTTAAAAACAAAAGTATATTTCTAACCTATTTATTGTTTTAACTATTTTTTTTTATATTACGCAAATTAGTTATTTGAAGTTTATAATAATTATATAAAAAAAAACTTTGCTGGAAATAGTTTAAAAGGTTTATTGTGCTTGGTTTGAACTTTGAGCTTTTTATTCTGCTTTTGGTTTGTTAAGACAAAGCGATGCATGTGAGTTTCTTCGCAGTATTCGTTTAAATTTATAGCAAACTACCTGGGATATACAGTAAAACCTATTTTTTTCATTATCAACATTTCAAGTTAATACATGTATATATTCTAAAGCTAACATTTGAAATAAATTCAAATAATTCAACTAATAAGTTCAAATAAACATAATTACTCATTGGCTATGAATTTTAAATTTTTTAAACTTTAAACAATACTTAAATTTATGAGTTAAGAAAGTTAATTGATTTTTAGGTTTTTCTTAATTTGAAATCTAAAATAGACCCGTGTAATCATCTTCGCAGGGTCATTGGAAAAGCTGCCCAGCTCAACCTCAGCTGATCGAACTTCAGGGTTACTTGGAAACACACCCGAACAAGCTTTGCACGCTACTATGTTCATATTAATATTTAATAGACTGTTCAATTATTGACTAACAAGAGCAGTGCGTTACATGGGGAAGCTGCATCTAATAAATGCATTGATGATAACAATGCTAATTACTCGTTCTCCAAGAATAGCAGGGAAGGTTGGAGCTGGTCTCGTCAGAATTTTTCAGATTTCAAGAGTAATGAAAGTCAACATGGGAAGGTGTGGTCCCCGGCAGAAAAAATAAGGGAAGATTCTTTTATTTCTCTTAATAAGGCACGTGGCTTTAGTGTTAATATGGATTGGGCCTTTAGCCCATCACAGGGTATTAGAGACTCATATGGGGTGGAATTGAGAAATATCCATATTCAGGAGTTGAACGACAAAATGGGCCTAACCCAAACACTGCCCTCTAGTGTGGATGAATTAAAATACAGAGTTGAATATCCTGATGATGAAGGAGACTATTCGCAGACGCAGACCTCTAATGCCTTAACGTCAGCAGAAATTAAAAGGGAGGTAGGGAATCTTGTTAGGAGAGTGAATGACTTCAATCTGAAGCGAAGTGCAGAAATCACTTGGGACTCTCCCACAACTAAGAGGAGGAAAGGCCATGTAAGTGATTTTCTTGCAAAATCAGGTGATCATGAAGGTGAAGAAAGAGGAGGGCGTCAAAAGGAAGGTGTGGAAGAATGTGGGCCTAAAGGAGAAGATCAAGTATGGCTGGATGATATTGAAAATAACACCAAGAGACTTGCGCTGCCCCCTCCCTTGGTTGACCAAAGTGCGCTTGGATTCGAGATGGGTAGTCACTCCGTTTCGAAGACAGCAGTTTATAGAAGAAAAACAGAAACAAAGCGGGCTCTATTTGAAGGTGACCTCACAATCTACAGGAAATACAGAGAAGAGAAATGGGAATTTGACCATGAAGGTAACATTATTATTAATCGAGAGAGGAATCAGATCACTGGAGGCTCTGAAAGGGGTGGTGGCTGGCCTTCTCCAGTCACCAATAATCAATGATTTTTGCTTGGAACTGTCAAGGTCTTGGAACTACCTTGACGGTTCGGAATCTAAAGTTCCAATGTCGTAAGTACAAACCAAAGCTTGTTTTTCTATCAGAAACAAAAATGAGAAGAGAGAAGATTGAGAAGGTACGAAGAAAATGTGGCTTTGATTGTGGAATCTATTTTGATCCTGTTGGAAGATCAGGCGGTCTGGCTTTGTGGTGGAATAGTGATACTCATGTTGAAATCGGGGTGGTAAGTCGTTATATAATTCACCTTGATTCTCTAGTTATCTATAATGTTAATTATGGTGCTGTTACTCTGGTTTATGGCCCTCAAGCAATCAATCAAAAACTACATTGGTGGAGGTCTATAGAACTTTTGAATCCTGGTGAAGATGTTCCTTGGATGATTTGTGGTGACTTTAATGAATTACTGTATCAATCTGATAAGGAGGGAGGCAGAGATTGCTCCTTGTATGACCTTGACAGATTCAGATGCTTTATGACAAATTGTAACATGTTTGAGGTTGAAGCAAAAGGATGCAATTTCACTTGGATGAATAACAGAGAATTGGGGGCGTTCATTAGAGAAAGGCTTGATAGAGCAATAGCTAATATTAGTTGGGGAGAGACCTTTCACAAAGGTCATTATGCAGTACTGGAGCCAATAGGATCTGATCATAGCCCAATTCTGATTTGTTATGATGTGTATGAAGGAAAAAGTCCCCATCTTTTCAGATTTGATAGGTGCTGGTTCAGTCATCCCCAATTTATGCAAATTATAAAAGAGAATTGGAAGCTAAATCCTGAGGAGGGACATGTTAAAGACTTTGTTCAGAATCTTCTTTCCCTGAGAGAGATGCTAAAATGCTGGAACAAGAAGGAATTTGGAAACACACAGAAGCTGATTCAGAAATTAATGCAAAAGATCCAAATTCTGTTGAGTGGCCCTTGGTCTGCGGAAATAGCAAGTGAAATCGCTATGCTGAAATCAAAAGTGGCAGACTTATGGAATCAAGAGGAGATTTACTGGGAGCAGAAGTCAAGAATTGATTGGCTCAAATGTGGTGACAATAATACTAAGTTCTTTCACATGTCTACAATCCAGAGGCGATGTCGTAATAGGATAACTTGCTTAAAAACAGGGTCTAGTGAATGGATTGAAAACGAGGAAGAAATTGGGAACTATTTTGCTGAGTTCTACAATGAGCTTTTCTCTCACTCTGGGTCTAGGAATTTTGATGAAGCACTTTGCTGCTTAGAAGCAGTTATAATAGAAGAAGAGAACAAAATCTTAATGGCTGAGATCTCAGAAACAGAGGTTAAAAAGGCTGTTTTCGAACTGGGGGGTTCTAAGGCCCCAGGACCGGATGGATTCACTGGAGTCTTCTATCAAAGATGCTGGGATATTGTGGGAAACCAGGTTTGCTCTCTCATCAGAAAGTTTTTCAATTTTGGTTTCATGCTCCATGATTTAAATAACACTGATTTAGTCTTGATCCCAAAAGTAGAATGCCCTGAAACTGTAAATGATTACAGACCCATAAGCTTATGTAACTTCTCTTACAAGGTTTTTTCAAAAGTCATCTCAAATAGACTAAAGCCTCTCATGGACAAGCTCATTGCTCAAAACCAAAGAGCTTTTGTTCCGGGAAGATTTATTCAGGATAATATCATTATTGTGCATGAAACATTCCATCATATGAAATCAAAAAAGACTGGCACTTGTGAAGTGGCTCTGAAATTAGATATGAATAAAGCATATGATAGGATTGAGTGGGATTTTCTACAAGCCCTCTTATTGAAACTTGGTTTCTCTAGAGCATGGGTGGATAGAATCATGTGGTATATCAACTCTGTAAATTTCTCTATCATGCATGCTGGAAAAAGAATTTCTCAAGTCCTCCCTCAAAGGGGTTTAAGACAGGGAGATCCCTTATCTCCCTACCTCTTCATTATTGTTTCAAATGTACTCTCTAAACTTATTGAACAAAAAGAACGACTTGGTGTTATTCAGGGAGTAAGAGTCTCCAGGCGAGGTCCTAGGGTGACACATAGTCTGTTTGCTGATGACTCAGTCTTCTTTATTCAAGCTGATGTTGACATGTGCAGAGAACTGAAACACATTTTTGATATTTACTGCTGTGCTTCTGGCCAACTTATAAATGTCAATAAATCTTGTTTATACTTCACTGCTAATACTCCTACTTTGCTAAAGGAAGAGATTGGTCACATTTTTCAGATTCCTTTGGTTGACATTCCGGGAAACTATTTGGGACTGCCAATTGTTTGGGGAAAATCAAAAACCCAGGCGCTTAATTTTGTCACTGATAAAGTGAAGAAGAGAATTATGGGTTGGCAGAAAAAATTTCTATCGGAGGCAGGAAGAGAGGTACTCATTAAATCAGTTGCAAATTCCATTCCTGTTTATCCTATGTCTTGTTTTTTATTCCCAAAAAGGGTCTTTAATAAGCTAGACCAAATCATATCTGCCTTTTGGTGGAATTCTTTTGAGCATCAACAAAAAGTCCACTGGACTGCTAAAAATAAAATGAAATTGGATAAGCTAGATGGAGGCCTGGGTTTCAAAGACTTTGAAGCCTTTAATCTTGCGCTTCTGGCTAAATTGGGATGGCGAATTTTGAATAATCCTAACCAATTGTGGGTTCAAATTTTGAAGGCTAAATACTTTCCTGATGGAGATTTCATGAATGCGAAAAAGGAAAACGCGCATCCTGGTTGTGGTCTAGCATTATTGAAGGCCGAAAGGTGCTGAATGGTAATGTGTGCAAGAGTATAGGAAATGGACGTGGGACCCGTATCTGGGGTGATCATTGGCTGGCTGATATTCCGGGTAAGAAACTTCTCTCTGTTTGCCCTTTGGAACATATGAGAAACCTTACAGTGGCTGAATTATTGTCTCCTACTGGTTGGAATCTTTCTCTCATTGAAAATTACATTTCTGATTTTGAAAAAAGAGCCATCCTAAATACTGTTATAAGCTCTTCTAATAGAGATGATA